CCACTGAGCCACAACCCCCGCACCCAACTTTACTTTTTTAAGCTTGATTTTAGTCATTGCTACAACTCTAAACACTACTATATTCTGTGCCTAAATTATTAGACTCAAACGTGTATTCTGTTGATGCTTAAGTAGATAAGTGTTTGATTTCTATAGATGAAAAAATTTAAAAGTCGATGTACTTCTTTTTGGGGGGTGATGTGTTTGTCTCAATGCTAGAACTTTTAATAGAAAAGAGCACTTATCATGAGCTTGTGCATATTAGCAGGTAGTCATCAAAAAAACATGACTAGAAAATTATCAGAGCAACAAATGATCAAGTATTTATTATCTAGGAATCACATTTTACTAAATAGAGTCATATAAAATTAGGCAAGTAAGCATGAACTGAAGTCTTATGATAAATCTTACTCAAGCTCCAAATATGGATTGAAATACCAACAAATGATACTAACAGCTGTGCGTGGCAACTGACTCAGTACAAGATGATGGGTGCTTATGTGTCACGGGAAGTCTCTAGAAGGTATCGTTAGTTGGCCAGTCTTTTTACTGAAATGTGTTAATTCTCCAAGGCTACCCAATACATCTGCCATTCTAATTATACCTGACCCAGTTCTCACATCTCTCCAGGATGAAAGATTATTTATAAAATGCCACCTGAAGGAGATTTACTTGTGAAGTCTTAGACTAATGAGAACTGGTGTGTTGTGATATTAAGAGCCAGTGAAGGGTTCCACTGTAATTTTCCTTCAACTTTGGTTCCCTGTTTGTTGTAAGCACACACTTATTCTTTACTCATCTGCACAGCTAGTCTGAAATACAACACAGTATTAGTAAGTTTGAAACCAGGCAAAAGGTAGCATGTTCACTGTCAGAAAGTCAAAGGGAGGGCTTTTCCCATTCAATGAGAGGTAGAGTATGCTGGGAAATTGGCTTTCTCCATCAAAATGAAAGATAAAACACTTGAGTCACAGTGTTTGCTGATTTCCATGGTATTTCAAGCTACCAATGGTTGTGGCTCATGAAGTGAAAGAAGTTCATGAATAATTAATTTTCACAGGCTAGCATACCAATGAGGGCATAAATGCAACCAGGAGCAATATTATATGTAGAATAGCCTAGGAGAGTCTTACATTTTTCTTGTTCTAGGGTTTAAATTTAAAGCAAAAACAAACAAAAAACTCCACTGGGTAGATACCTCAGGGTTCTCTCACTCTGGTTGACATTACTAATGCCTTAAGAACAATACCACCATGGTAAGGGAAGTTTCCATTTCAGAGTCTTATTCCCTGTCTCAGTGCCTCAAATCTGCAGAATATATAGGGCAGAAGATGCTGCTAGAGGCTCCTCCTCCAAGTACTGCCCAGGACCAGCACTGCCTGGACTCCCCTCCAACCCCGTGAACTTAGAATTTGTGGTTTGCAAGAGCCTTTGGGTGACCTGAATGGATAAAAATTTAAGAGAATAATAGTAATCCACCCTATCTTTTAAATGCAGTCGAGATGTCAAAATTAGAGATACAAGGTTCAATCACATTCTAAAAAGACAAGAAGGGGAAG